TCTTAGTCATGGTGCTTTGGTTTTTTTGAGACATGGTTTCTCTGTGTAATAGCCCTGGATGTCCTGGAACTCATTCTGTAGGCCTCAAACTCACAGAGATCCTCCGGCCTCTGCCACCTGAGTGCTGGGATTAAAGGTGTTCACCACCACCTCCTGGCTTGGTCCTGGTACTTTATCACAGCAATAAAAAAGTAACTAATAGGGACTTAGCGGTTTAGAGCATTTGCTGCTGCAAACAACCCAAGTTCAAGTCCCAGAGCCCACATGGTACCTCAAAGTCATTCATAATTCCAGTTCCAGGGGATCTCTTCTGGCCTCTGCACACACATGGTACATACATACATACATACATACATACATACATACATACATACACACACACACAAAACAACCATACACATAAGATGTAAAAATTTTTAAAGTAATTTTAAAAAGAAAAGTATTCAAAAGATGGAGAGAGTAAAAATTGGTCTCCATTATCCCATGTACTAGGCCATTCTTAAAACTACCACAAGGTGTGGGTCAGGTTTTCAGTCACCTGCCCACAGCATCCTGACTACATATCCAATAAAGCTCAGTCCACTCGGTAGACACTGCCATCTGCATCAGTCCCAGGTGAGTCATCACTGAGGGGGTAAAGTCTTGGCTCCAGAACAAGCAAGGTTTGTAAACTTTTCCTATGAAAAGCCAGGTGATAAACATTTTATGATGGAAGCCATAAACATCCCCATTCCACCTGCTCAATGCAAAATGCATGCCAGTGAGATGACTCAGTAGAAAGAAAAAAAAAAAAGAAACACAACAACATGGGTTCAACCCACACACATAAAAAACCCAGATGCAACAGTGTACATCTGTAATCCTTGCACACCTATGGCAAGATGGAAGGTAGGTAGAGACAGGAGACTCACCTAGAAGCTGGCTGGCTAGCTAGCTTGGAATACACGGCATGGCAGAAACAAGAGAGACCCTGCTCTAAAACAAGAAATAAGAGAACTAAGTCCCTAAAATGTCCCTTGACCTCTATATACATATTGTGACCCACAAACAGAAAAGTAATAAATTTAAGCTTAATTTTTTTTAATGCTAAAGTAGCTGTATAAATGGGGATTGTTGTGTGCTGATAGCTTCTTCTTCCTTTAAAAAAAACAAAAAACAAAAAACAAACAAAAACAGTCTCTGTATAGCCGTGACTGTCCTGGAACTCTATTTGTAGACCAGGCTGGTCTTGAACTCACAGAGATCTCCCTGTCTCTGTCCTTCTGCCTCATTAAAGGCATGTGTCACCACTGGCCTTCTTTTTTTTTTTTTAAAGAAAAAAAAAAGGCATTGGTTGGGCATGGTAGCACACACCTTTAATCCCAGCAGTCAGGAGGGAGAGGCAGGTAGATCTCTGTGAATGTTAGGCCAGTCTGATCTACAGAGTGAGTTCCAAGACAGCCAAGGCTGTTACACAGAGAAAACCTATCTCAGAAAAAAAAAAAAAGTAGAAAGAAAAGAAAAAAAAAGGTATTAGAGATTGAATCTAGGGCCTCGTGCATGCTAGGCCAGTACCCTACCACTGAAATACATCCTAGCCCACTAGTAAAACTATTCACACAAACAGACAATAAACAATTGGCTTTCTGGATATCATGTTGGCCCTGCACCAACCACAAGAAAAACATGGGTCAATAGATCTCAGCTAATCATCCCCCCACCAACACCTGCAAAATCAGAAACCAGTAAATGGCTGAAGGAAATAATTCAATACAATTATAAAAGGGATTAATATTTATTGAGGGTTTACTATATGTGCTAGATGCTATGTTAAGAGACAGATCATTTAGGGCTGGGGATGTAGCCAGGGAGCATTCACCTAGCATGCTGGAAGCTCTAGCTTCCATCCCCAGCAACACCTAAGAAGGCATGGTGGTGCACACCTGCAATCTCAGCAAGAGGATCAGGATTCCAAGGTCATTCTCAACTATAGCAAAGCCCAGGGTACAAAAGACCTGAGGTGACAGCAGTCGGAGGAGGCAGAGGGAAGAAAAGGAGAAAAGGGAGCCTGGTGAGGAATAGGAAACAGAAGATTTATCATCTCATATAACTTGACGGTTTTAGGGTATTTCTATGGTTGGAGTTTCGGTGGCTCACTAGTCCATTCAAGCACCCAGGCTCTTTCATTCTCAAGCCTCTGCCTACCTTTGGGGCTTTGCCCACATCAACTCTCTCCATGACCACAGGATGATGGCTCAAGTGCCAAGCCTCACATTCAAACCGCCTTCCTCAGAAGGAACATAGTCCCATCTCCACTCCCTATTCTTTTGTTGTTGGTTTTCTTTGCGAGGGGGTGGGGTGGGGAGGGTGTTCTATTTGGGGATAGGAACTCATATTGCAGGCCAGCCTCAAACAAACTTGCTACTTGTCCAGGGATGGCCTTGAAATGTTGATGCTTCTGCCTTAGCCTCCTAGATGCTAGGGTTACAGGCACATACCTCCACAGCTGGCTTCCTCTGTCTTCTTCTTGGACATGAAGAAATCTCTACCAAAAGTAGCTTCACATATGTTTCTTTTCACTATGATTTGATATGTTCTGTCTAAAACTAAGCACTAGAAATAGTGAGGAGAGGGCTGGAGTAGTGTCTCCATTGGGATTCTGCTAGCTAGCATGCAAGAGGTGCCAGGTTCGATACCCAGGCTTGATGGTGGGCTTGACAGAGACATAGTCTGTTATCTCAGCACTTGAAGACACAAGCAGGACAATCAGAACACTTAGAAATGCAAAGTTATCTTTAAGGCTAGCCTGGACTACATGAAACCCCATTACAAATAAATAAATAAATAAATAAATAAATAAATAAATAAAAAGCAAATAAATAACCCTCTCTAAATATGGCCAGGGTTAGGGGTTGGGTTAAATCTCCAAGATTAACTGACATGAAATCAGAGTCTGTTAGGAAGTAGGGGGCCTAAGAATGGACATTGGATGAGTTATTTTAAATGATATTAGTTTCCACATTTCACAGTAAGAAAATAAAATTTGGAAAAGGAGAAATGATTTGCCCAGAGTCACCCACTAGTACATGGAAGAGAGTGGCTCAGTTCTGTGACTACAGTGCCCAAGACCTCAGCCACTACATTAATGTTGTGTCTATAAAGGGGGAGCTGAGAGTGTTTGGAAAAAACAGAGGCATTCCAAACTTGCCTTGACATCAAGTCAAATGAAGCCAGTCAGATGTGAATTGATCTCCCTCACAGGGCATACCACTTAGCTTAGCTTTGTAATAAACATACTCATAGTTCAGTGAGTAAAGCCACAACAATTTATTTAGCTTGCAATTAGATGGGTCAGCAACTTGGGCCAAGCTCCCATCTCAACTGGACTCACTCAGATCTCTCCCGTCAACTGAAAGGTCAACCCGGGACTACCTGGCCTAAGACAGTCTCAGTTGGAATGATCTGCCCATTATTCTAAGAGGTCCTTCATCTTCTAGTAGGCTAGCCTGGGCTTGTTCACATGCAGGCTGGGCAGGATACCAAGACTAAGGAAAAAAAAATACATATGACCTCTTAAGGCCTAGCTAGGATCTAAGAAGAATGACTTTTTGAATAAGAATTAAACTGATTAAGAATTTTCTCCTTTCCCTTTCCTCCTAGAAAGACCGATGCTCTGACACACCTCCCTGCTCCCTTGGTGGCTAGGAAAAAAATCACATCAGATAAAAGTGTTTGTTACATGGGCATGAAGACCAGAGTTCAGATCCCCAGCAATCACAAAAAAAGAAAAAAAAAAAAAGCTGGGTAGGTTCGGTGGCCCACCTATAATCCCAGCACTGGGAAGACAAAGACAACAGATGCCCAGGACAAGCTGAAAAAAGCATCCGTGAGCTTCCAGGTTCAGGGAGAGACCCTTCCTCAACAAATAGAGAGATATCAAGTATGGTATCCGAAGCCAACCTCTGGCACGCATGTGTGAGCACATACACACACACATACACACACATACCTACACATGTACAACCTTTATACACACTGTACATACTACACACAAACTAAAAAAGATGAAAGCAAAACATTTCAATATTTCCAGTTTCAGGAATATTCATCGGGCTAACCTAATTTATGCTCAAAATCACCTTGGCTCCTCCTTGAGGACAAGGACACTTAGCCAGAGCTGCTGATGAGGCCAAGTAGTGGTAGGATATGGATTCAATCCAGAGAGTTACAAAAACAGCACCATGATCAACAGATCGAGGCTGGAACTAGGCCACCAGAGGAGAGCATCTAAAAACCAAATATTTAGGACCAAAGACAAAATTCCACCCACTCTATTTGTGCCCTACCTCAAAACATACTCCATATGGCAACCAACCAGGGCCATCCTTTCTGCTATGCTGGAAAAATAAACATTCATTCAACAAATAGTTATTGACCAAACCCCATAAACTTCAAAGAAATGGAATTCCCTCTTAATTATCCAGTTGGTCTCTGTTAAAATATCCTTCCAGGGGGCCTGGAAGTTAGGAGAGTGCCTGCCTAGTATGCAGAGAGTCTTGAGTTTGATTCCTGGTACTATGTAAACTTAGTATAGTGGTACAGTCTTGTATTCTAAGGACTTAGGAGGTGGTGCATACAGGATCAGAAATTCAAGAACACCCTGGGCTACCTAACAAGTTGGAGGTCAGCCTGGGCTATGCAAGACCCTGGCTAAAAAGAAAAAGAAGAGCCAGGTAGTGGTTGTGTACACCTTTAGTCCCAGCACTCAGGAGGCAGAGTCAAGCGGATCTCTGTGAGTCTGAGGCCAGCCTGGGGCGGGGGGTGGTAAAAAAAAAAACCCCGTAAAAAAAAAAAAAAAAAAAAAAAAAAAAAAAAAAAAACCTTCAGAATTACTTATGATATCTTTATAGGGGCCAAGAGAATTTCCTTTTAATAATCTTTACTTACATGATTATTAAAATTAATCTATAGATAAGGATGTAATTCAGTCAGTAGAGTGCTTGCCTAGAGTGCTAGAAGCCCTGGGTTTTATCCCCCCCCCCCAACCAACCACATAAAGTAGGCATTGTGGGACGCACCTGTAATCCATCCCTCCAGAGGAGGCAGGAGGATCCAGAGTTCAAGGCCATCTTCAGCTACATAGTTGAGTTGAGCTACATAAGAAGTTACCTAAAAAAAAAAAGTGTGTGTGTTACCAGGCATGGTGACACATACCTTCAATCCCAACACTCAGGAGGCAGAGGCAGATCAATCTCTATGAGTTTGAGGTCAGCCTGGTCTACAAAGCATGTTCCAGGACGTGTGTGTGTGTGTGTGTGTGTGTGTGTGTGTGTGTGTGTGTGTGTGTGTGCCTGCACACATGCGCTCACGTGTGTGCTAAAAAATTGACTCAATAGTTAAAGAGGAGAAGACCCAAGTTTGGTTCCCAGCACCCACTTTGGGTGCTTCTGGTCTTCTTCTGGTCTCCAAGGGTACAACACTCATATGCATAAACCCACGTACAAATACACACATATACACATAGTTAAAAATCAAAATAAAGCTAGAACTCTGGAGGCAAAGGCAGGTGAATATCTGAGTTTGAGAACAGCCTGGTCTACATAGTGAGTTCCAGGCCAGCCAGGGTTTTATAGTGAGACCCTATTCAAAATAAAAATAAAAATCAATTAGTAAAAGAAATAAAATTTTTTAAAATTATATGTATTCTAATAAATCTGAAAAAACCCAATGAGTCTTTTTCCCTGAGTTCACCAAGCTTATCCAGTGCTGTCTCTTGCACTTTACATCTTTGTATTTAGATGTTTAAAGCCTCTGGAGCTGATGTCTAAGGAAAGGCAGCGAGCACAACGGGGCTGCATTCCATCTGATGAGCCCATTCAGAAATTTATAGGCTTGCACAGTGTGAAGCCTGGCCCCTAGCATTTCTGAACGTGGCATCTGGTCCCTGTGAATTCTCATAACAAATGAGGGTTGCCAACATAAGCAACTCCCTCTAGATACAGGTGAAATAATAGTCTTGCTGAGCGAACGCTCGCAACAGGAAAACATACAGAGTTAGCTCACCCGGTGTTCTCAAAAAGCACTCTCCATAGGACCAAAGCCACAGAAAGCCAGCCAGCTAGTCAAGAATGTGGAGGGAATTCCCCTCCTGCTGAGCTGGGCAGGGACCCCATGTTTCTGGATAAACTAAAGAGACTGCCCACCCCAAGGGCAGAGTACCCAAAAAAAGCAGAGGTTCTTTAGTTTCCCTTGGCTTGTCCTTGGGAAGAGGCACGAGTATAGAGGATATGCACGGATATGAATGCAGAAAATATATAGAATGTAGACGCTGAAGAGATGATTTAACAGTTAAGAGCACCTACATGACAGCTGACAACAGTCTGTAACGCTCCTTCTAGGACATCTGACACCCTCTTCTGGCCTCTGCAGGGACGAGGCATGCAAGTGGTGTGCAGACATACATGCAGGGGAAACACCTATACATATACATCCATACATGAAATAATACAACATAAAACGAGGAACTGTCAGCTGCATTGCTTAGTGTTCACTGTGAGTTCTTTTGTTGAAAAGAACAAATGCTAATATACCACCTATGATTGCTTTACAGCTAAGTAATCTCTAATATATTTAATTTACAGACTGTCATGGGGCTACTAAGAATATTATGCAGATGAACTATAAGAATTAGCATTAGGGCCTGGAGAGATGGCTCGGAGGTTAAGAGCACTGACTGCTCTTCCAGAGGACCTGGGTTCAATTCCCAGCAACCACATGGTGGCTCACAACCATCCGTTATGAGATCTGGTGCCCTTTTCTGATGTGCAGATATAAAGGGAAGCATAATGCTGTATACATAATAAATAAATAAAATCTTAAAAAAAAAAAAGAATTAGCATTAGCCAGGCCTTGGTGGCACACACCTTTAATCCCAGCATTCGGGAGGCAGAGGCAGGCAGCTCTCTGTCAGTTCTAGGCCAGCCTGGTCCACAGAGCGAGTTCCAGGACAACCTCTAAAGCAATACAGAGAAACCCTGTCTCGAAAAAGAAAAAAAAAATTAGCATTAATGGGATGCAGACATGCTCACTAAGTCTGTTGCACAAGACATGAGTTCAAATCCCCAATATCCATGTAAAGTCCCAGGTACCGTGGCATATAGAGGTAATTGTTGGATGGGGGTGGTATTGGAGACACATGGTTTCCTGGAGCTTATTGGCCAGCTAGACTAGTCAGTCAGTGAGCTCCAGATTCCAAAAAATAAGGTCAAGGAATTAAGGAAGATATCTAACATGGACCTCTGGTCTCTATATACATGTACACACAACTGCACACACCCACTCAAACGATTACACACGTGGAGGGAGACATAATACCAAGGTCTGGGAATATAGCTTAGCCAGTAAGCTTAGCCAGCCTAGCATGACTTCATGAACCCAGGCATGACACACACCTAATCCCAGCACTCAGGAGGCAGAAGCAGTAGCATCAGGAGTTTATGGTCATATTTGGCTACATAGCAAGTCTAAAACTGAGCTGCATGAGACCACGTTTAAAAAAAAAAAAAAAAAAAAAAGGATTAGCATTACCATCCCAGCACGTGCTTGGGAGATTTGGGGGGGGGGGGAGTTTAAGTCATCCTCAGCTATACAGCAAGTTCAAAGTCAACCTGGGCAATATAAACCCAGAGACAGAGAGCAGAAATGGATGAAGGACCAGCAAGGCGCACAGTTCAGTCGAGAGCATATAACTGGGGCTAGATAGAGACGTGAAAAGCGCTCCTTTGGCCTCCACCTCTGGAGGGTTGTAATTACAGGAATGCACCTCATGCCTGGCTTGCTTACATGGTGCTGGAGAAAATGGAATTCGACTTCATACATGGTAGGCAAACACTCGGCTAACACAGCTCTCTCCTTTGTTGCTAATGATGCACAGGGCCCTGAGTTCGATGTCCAGAATGAGATGGAAAGTAACTGAAAAGAAAAGCTACATTCTTCACATTTTCATCGTTTCTATAGATATTTTTTTTTTCTTAAAAGCAAAACAAAACCATTTGCCAGTGGCAGGATTCTACATGAAGCAGAGAAAAGTATGATTTACAAGTTTCACTGCCACCTTCCTACAAGGTCCAAAAGGTGAAAAGATTCTCAACTCCACACCACCCCCTTCCCAGCGCTTCTTGGTGAGTTAAGGAAATCCTCCTCCCTCCGGGCCCCCCACCGTGGCAAAAGACAAAGCCAGATCAACAGTGCCCAACAGGGTAGGAGCTGAGGGAGACATGAGTCAAGAGCAGCCGCAGTGGAAATGACTTCAGGCGCTTGGTTAACAGTGGGCTCAAGTCTGAATCATTCCAGTGGCACGGGCTCCTGGCTGGAATCAAGAGTATTCCATAGAGGGTAAAGGCCGTGACAGCACCCCGCTACTCACGTGTTCTGTGCAGAATCAACCCGAGACAGTATCGGTCCAAGCAACACGAAGACACTTGCAGGTCTGGGTGCTATGAAAGAGACACCAGGCGAGGAGGAATCAGAATGCTGACTTAAGTCCCAGGTACCGGGAGGAGAGTTTGGAGACGCTGTGAATGAACTTTTGGGAGCACTGAGATGGTCCACCCCGCCATCGCAGCGTCCGGGAGGTGCAGGCATGAGGATCTTGGAGCCAAGGCTATCTCATTGTGAGCTACCCAGTGAGTTCCAGGGGAGATGAAAAATTGAATTTAAAAAGAGTGGAGGGGCTGAAGAAATGGCTCGGTGGTTACAAGTACTTGCTGCCCACTCGCAGGATGGAAGTTAGGTTCCCAGCACTCACACAGGGCAGCTCACAACCACCCATAACACCAGCACCAGAGGATCCAGCATCGTCTGCCTTCTGGGAAGGGAACCCCTACACATGCAGCCTACACACACAGACTCAGACATAAATAAAAAGGTGGGGAGGCTAGGGAGATAGCTGAATCAGTAAAATGTTTGCTGTGTGAGCGGGAGGACCTGAGTTTAACCCCAAGTTCCCATGTGAACATGGATGAAGATGTGTGCTTGTCATCCCAGGGCTGGAGTTACCTGGGACTTACTAGCTGGCCATCCTAGACTAATTGGAAAGCTCCTAATGAAAGACACTGTCTCAAAAAAAAAAATCTGTTATTTATAAATTAAAAAGTGATAACACTCGGGGCTGGGGAGATGGCTCAGAAGTTAAGAGCACTGGATGCTCTTCCAGATGTCCTGAGTTCAGTTCCCAGCACCACCTGGTGGCTCCCAACCATCTATAACTTAATTTCCTGGGGATCCCATGCCCTCTTCTGACCTCTGTGGGCATGTTTTACACAAACATACTTTCAGGCAAGACACCCATACACATAAAATAATTTAAAAGTACAAAAATGCATTAAAACATATTTTCTTCTGGGCAGTGGTGGTGCAAGCCTTATATTCCAGCACTCGGGAGACAGAGACAGAGGATCTCTGTGAGTTTCAAACCAACCTGATCTACAAGAGCTAGTTCCAAGACAGCCTCCAAAGTCACAGAGAAACCCTGTCTCCAAAAACAAAACAAAACAAACAAATCACAAAGGAAGAGATTTGAAATGCTCAAATATGACCACTGTTACATATAATCTCTATCGTTTTGATGTAAAAATTACATCATTCATGGTTATCCTTTAAAACCAGTTTAGCATCCAGATCTTTTTCATTTAGCACAGGACTCTTCCCTGTCATTAAATAGTACTCAGATGTAAATGAAGCATGCATCCTATTTATAAGCGTGCACTCTATTCTGTTTAAACTGTTCACAAGTTTTCACCGACATATGTCTGCAATGATTATTCCTGCTGAGAACAGTTGGCCACTTGCTAGACTGAACACTGGGACTGGGGTTGCCCTGAGGTCAAGGGCATGAACTCTGTCCAAGTATAACCTTTTCAGAAGGACCTTTCCTAAGGGTGTGCCCTCTGGCCCTCCCAGTGCCCGTCTTGAAAGCCAACAGAACAGAACGGAAAATTATCCAGACACAGATTTTTCTCTGAACTAATTTTTTGAAAGACACCTTCAGTTTCCCCCGTTGTGTGTGTGTGTGTGTGTGTGTGTGTGTGTGTGTGTGTGTGTGTGTGTGAGAGAGAGAGAGTGTGTGTGAGTGTGTGCGTGAGTGTGTGTGTGTGTGTGTGTGTGCATACAAACATTGGTAATTTAGATTTTTCCCAGGTAAATTTTCCATTTCTTTAGGGATTTTCCATTTCTTAAAAAAAAAAAAAATCTGTAATGCAGCCAGGTGGTGGGGTGCTCACTTTTAATCCCTGCACTCAGGAGGCAGAGGCAGGGGGATCTCTGAGTTCGAGACCAACCTGGTACAGAGCTAGTTCCAGGACAGCTAGGGCTGTTACACAGAGAAACCCTGTCTCCAAAAACAAAGCAAAACAAAACAAAACTGTAATTCACCAGAAAAGAATTTATTTTGGATGCTGTTACTTATATTTATTTGTTTAGTTTAAGGAGAGCTCTCACTACATTGCCCAGGTTTTTCCTGAACTTCTGGACTCAGGCAATCCTCTTGCCTCATTTCTCTCACCAGTTTTCTCATTTTTTATAGAATTAATTACCTTTATTTGAAAAGAAACAGTAACAGCTTTATTGAGATATATTCTACACATCATCAAACATCCTTTTCCAGTGTACAATTCAGGGCTGCAGATGTGGCTGAATGGTACAGTGCTTGTTTGTTCAGTTCCTGGTAACATAAAAAAATAAATAAATAGATGCCAGCAAAATGGCTAAGTGGGTAGAATCACATGCCACACAGGCCTGATGACCTGAGTTCCATACCTGGAACCCACGGCGAGAGGAGAAAACTGACGCCCGAAAGTTGCCCTCTAACCTACACACGAGTACTATGGCACCTCACACTTAAACCATCCACATCCACACAATAATAAATAACACGGTATCCAAGGGTTAAAGAGATGGCTCAACAGTTAGGAGCACTGACTGCTTTTCCAGAGGACACAGGTCAAGGCCCAGTTACACCCAGGTGTAACTCCAGTTTCAGGTGATCTGATGCCTTCTTCTGACCTACATAGGTATTAAGTTCATGCATGGTACACAGACATACATCAAGCAAAACATGCATACATAGAAAATAAAATGTACAAAATTCCATAGTTGTAGTATTTGTGGTCAAGCAGCCATGCCACTCTCTGATTTTATATTTATTTATTTGCGTATTTTGAGGTAGACTCCCATGCCGTAACTCTGGCTGGCATGGAACTTGATATGTAGATCTGGAACAGTGATTTGAGATAAAGCACTTACCTAGGATGTGTGAGACCCTAGGTGGATTCCCCAGCACCACACACTCACACACACACACACACACACACACACACTCACCCACCCACACACTCACACTCACCCACCCACACACTCACACTCACACACACACACACACTCACACACACTCACACACACTCACACACACACTCACACACTCACACACACAAATTAGAATTAGCATTCTATATACAGCTTTGCCAAGGGCTGCTATCACATTCATCTATTTAGCCATGTGAAAGCATACACACAATGTCCATAACAGCATTATTCAAAATAGCTAAAGATCAAAGCAAAAACCCTATAGATCCATTAACTGATGAGTCGATAAACAAAATGTGCCAGCTACATTCAAATGATAGAGAATGTTCTTCTCAGCCATAATTTCAGAGAAATTCTGGGGCTGGAGAGATGGCTCAGAGGTTAAGAGCACTGACTGCTCTTCTAGAGGTCCTGAGATCAATTCCCAGCAACCACATGGTGGCTCACAACCATCCGTTATGAGATCTGGTGCCCTCTTCTGGTGTGCAGATATACATGGAAGCAGAATGTTGTATACATAATAAAAAATAAAAAAAAACTAAAAAAAAAAAAAAAAAGAATCAGAGAAATTCTGATTGGTGCTACAATGTGGGAGGACCTTGAAAACATGATGCTAAATGAAAGAAGCCATGCCTAGAAGCCCATACCTAGCTGGATGTGGTGATGCATGCCTGTAAACTCAGCATTTAGGAAGCTGAGGTAGAGGGGTTGCAATTTCTAGGCCAGGCTGAGGAACATTGCAGCAATGAGTCTCCAGACAAAACAGCCATATGTTGCATGATCCCACTTACGTAAATTGTTCAGAATCAGCAAATACAAATAGCAGTGGTTCTCAACCTTCCTAATGCTGTGACCCTTTAATACAGCTCCTCAAGTTGTGGGGATCCCCACCATAAGATTATTTTCTTTCTTTTTCTTTTTCTTTTTCTTTTCTTTTTGTTTTTTTTTTGTTTGTTTGTTTTTGTTTTTTTGTTGTTGTTGTTTTTGTTTTCCGAGACAGGGTTTCTCTATGTAGCTTTGGAGCCTATCCTGGCACTCGCTCTGGAGACCAGGCTGGCCTCGAACTCACAGAGATCCGCCTACCTCTGCCTCCCAAGTGCTGGGATTAAAGGCATGCGCCACCAATGCCCGGCCATAAGATTATTTTCATTGCTACTTCATAACTGCAATTTTGCTACTGTTATGAATCATAATGTAAAAATTTTTGGAGATAGAGATTTACCAAAGGTGTTGTGACGCCCAGGTTGAGAACCATTGCCATAAAGAGGCGGAAGGGAGCTGAGTGACTACAGCTGGGCTGGGGATGGATGACTTTACAATTGGTGTAAAAGCTCTTTGGGGGTTGATTAAATTATAAAATTAGAAACTGTGGTATGGTGGGCACACATCTTTAATCTCAGCACTCAGAAGGCAGAGGCAGACATATCTTAAAAGTTAATAGGTTGTGTGTGGTATTGTGGATTGAGCCCAGGACCTCTTACTTCCAACTCTCGTATATGCACACACACACACACACACACACACACACACACACACACACACCGTTGTATGATAAAACTTTTCCTGGAAAATGCAACACATCCATCAACTCACTCCAGATAGAGAACCCAATCCAATCAAATGATGGATACCGCCAAAGCCCAAGTTGGTGAACTATGAGTTTTACTGGGGTTACTTACAGGAATATGGGTGAAGGATTACTCACAGGAGTAGAAATGACTCAAAAACAGCTGACTTAACAAGGCCCACACCAGCATGGGTGACAGCTCACCAAGCTGGGAACTTGGAGCTCACTGCACAGCTTGCAGGCAGCTCAGCAGGTTGGAGATTGTTCTTTCCAGGTGCCTCAGTTGGTCTAAACTTCTTCAGGCAGCTCAACTGGTTTCTGCTTCTTCCAGGCAGTTAGTTCAGTATGAGTCATTTTCACCACTTAGCTTCTCTGAGAATCTTCTTTGCAGTTTGGTTTTGATATTCTGAGCAGGATTCTCAGATTTCATTGTTTAGTCTGGCAGGGAGGGGCCCAGTGAATCTGGTCAGTTTCAGGTACTTCCTGAAGCTTCCAAGTTGTTTACCTTCCTGTTTAAGGAGTTTCCCGGCTTGTTAGATTATTTCAATCTCAGAGGACACTGTTATACAACAACACACACATAGTTTTGTTTTTATTTCCATGTGTATGGATGTTTTATGCATATATACCTGGGCACCTGGACACTATATGTGTACCTAGTGCCCACAGTGGCCAGAAAAGGGCATCAGATCCCTTGAGGCTGGAATTACAGCCAGTTGTGAGCCACCATGTGGATACTGGAAATCACACTCAGGTCCTCTGCAAGAGCAGCCAATGCTCTTAACCAGAAATTACTCAAAACCAGCTTGAATCTCCCCAGTCCCTGGGGCTTTTGTTTTTGAGACAAGGTCTCTAGCCCCTAGTCTCATTATGTAGCTGAGGCCGACTGTGAACTTCCTATCCTCCTGATGCCACCTGCCAAATGCTGCAATTACGAGCATCCAACACCACATCCATTTTTTTTCAAGCCTCATTTTTTCTAACTCCATCATCCCATT